CACAGGGACTGCAGCCCACGCCATCGCCGGCGACTCATGGCAGCCCAGCTCCAGGTTGAGCTGTTGTTCAGCATCTTAGCTGTGGAGGGCAGTGTCACTGCCCCTCATATGTGGGATCCGAACCAGGGCCCTCTGGCATCTCAAACCAGTGCTTAACCATCGCGCCACTCGGCCGGCCCAAGTTCTTTTGCATTTTAAGAGAACTTTTGAAATGATGGATGCATGAGAAATGAAAGAATTCTTGGAGAGTTTCTAATTGGAGCTAGTAAAAAGGAAGTGATTGAAGAGGTAGCCTCGAAGAAAGTATTTCCGTATTTGAAATAGTTGTCTAGTTTTCGTATGGCTGCCATGTTTATCAATAATTTGAAAGATTGACATTATCATAGTGAATAGTTGGAACACAGATATATGTTTGAAGAAAGGACCTTTTTAACACCTGTTGCTTTCAAACAGATTGGTAACTAATTTATGAAAGGGGTAGTACATCACAAAATCTTATTAGTGTTTCAAGTTTCTGTAAAGGCAGCATTCTTTTACCATATGGTTAGCAGAAAGTGGATTAACATACTTGAAAAATGAGAATCATAGTGCTGAAAAGGACTTAGGCAGTAAATGTTGGGGCCCTTATTTAAGTGTAAAATAACACACCGGCAGAGACAGATTTAGTTGGTGGGTAAACATGGCCATGTGTTTACCGTTGTGTTGGAGAAAGTTTCTGTTTCACTTTATCAAAACTAGTCCTTTTTTCCTGCCTTATTACATAATCACTTTAATTTATTGCTTAATACCTATTCATTGAGGCCTAAAATTTTAACTACAAATAAAAACGATTTTAATGGTATGAGTATTGAAAACAGACGAGTTAAATCACAACCGTTCAGCGCTGCTTTACGGTTCTTTTCTTGGATTATTGGGCAAGTTTGACTTTCTCCTCTGATGGCCACATTACGTTTTGCCTTGAAGCCATCTGTTTTGCAGATACTGAGTTTCGTTTGAGTACGATTTTTATACAGTAAGCATCACTACACCTCTGGATCTTGATAGCATTACGACGGGAGGAGAAGGAAGCTTTGTGTTAGTAATTACCTAACATTGTCAGAAGCTGACTGCAGGCCTCTTTCTAGTGATAACAGAATAACCGCATAATGTAGCTTTATAGCACATGATTAATAGAAAATAATTACACGTCCTACAAAGGGATGCAATATTTCTTATAAATTGACTAGAATGGTTTCCTGTAGATTAAAGGACTCTTCATTATTTTATCAGTCCTCCTGAAGTACAGTCACTCGCCTATGTTAGCATTTCAGGGGATGTTGAGAGCCGAATAGGCTGAGGGATACCAGATGGCAGATTGTCTTGTACCTGAGCTCTCGTGTGCCATAAACATGACATGATGCTGCCTAGCCTTTCAAAGATTTATATGGCAGCCTGGTATGGTTTCGTCTCTTTATTTTTTGTTTATTAACAAGATCAGGTTTGAGGGCTGTTGTGTTTTAATGACCCACCTGTGACTTTGAGAACAATACCGTAATCAGTGTGTGGACCACAAGGCAGCATTATGTGGATTGAATTATTTTCCACTGTAAGTAATGTGTTACTCATAATCATGTTTGTTTGGGCAAAGCCAAAGGAAGGCAGATTTTCTTCTTCCAAAGGCAACTCTGTCTGATCTTGAATCTTTAGGCTGAAATTTAGAATACTGTACTCCAGGAAGCATCTTCATTCCAATTTATAGGCTGCAAATGGTTTAATTGGGATTCATGTTGCTCAGGAGGCTCATACAAAGGGAGGTAATAATAAAAGTAACAGCTTCTGTGTTTGCAGCCTTGTAGACACCCTCGTAGCGGTGGCAGTGGAAATCCATAAATTTGCCTCCTAGATTTTTACCTCACTATATTTTATCTTACCTCTTAATTCCACACAGGAGTATTATCTGGAATCCTTTACGCATGTAAAGTCATAAACATTCTGTTTTTTATTTTTTTATTTTTACCCTTTTCTGATTGAAGCCTGTGATATGTTAGAGTACTTTTAGGACGTGTGTATTTCACATGATTTTCAATTATTTTAAATTAAGAGAAGCATTTAAGATGATTTTAGACTAAAACTTGAATTTTTTCCCCAAGAAGGTTACTTTTAAGGGATTTGTTTAGAGCTGAAGAAGCCCCTCCCTGTTGTTTACTACTGTGCTTCCTGCTTAATGAATTTTCCCAGTTACCGTCATGCGGAATTCTTTCAGGTGTGAAGCGTGTCATTGGTCCTTTGGTGAAGTGATTTGTTGGAAATCAATTTCTTAAATTTGGATGTGAGTTAGCTTTCTGAGAACCATGATATTCTCTTAATTGAGAGCACAGGTTATAACCGGAGCAGAACGTTATAAAGTAATATGAACTTTCTGGTTTGTAATTTGAACCTAAACGTTGAAACCCAGATTGCAAGCCATTCTCTGAAAGCAGGTTTGGGTCACCTAACGTGTTCTGTGTCTGCCCTTTGTGGGGCTGGTTCCTTTACTCCTTCCAAATAATCGATTGGAAAAGTCTTTGATTGGCATTGAGTAAGAGCCTTCACACTTAGGCTTCCTCTATTAACCATCTATTTTGAAATCTTACAAGGCAAGCCGTTGGCCTCTGAAAGGTTAAATACATTTGTTTTCTTAAGCATTAGGCCCTAATTGTATTCATTGCCTTAAAAATTGAAAAGGGCAGTTTTATTAGGTACCTATTAGGATATAATGGTTGCTAATCTTAGCTTTCAGTAAGTTGGTATTTTCTTCTGATAAATATATCCCACGTACACTTGCGTCATCATCGTTGAGTTCTGGGCATCAGACTGTTTTCATTTCTTAGATAGTTTTGTCCGCTAAGTTCACATTATCAGTGAACGTTTAAACTTAAAATCTTGACTCCACGGCCTCATAAGCCAGAGCTATGCCCTAATTAAAATAAGAAGTGTGGGATTAGCCTTTCTTCCCCCTTATTCTTTCAATAAACCTAATTCTGATACATCTCACTGTCAAAGAGCACAGAATAGATTTTAATCCAATAATCTCTCTATTGATAGACTACATATCAATACACACACATTAATGTTACTACATTTGTGTTGAAGAATTGTATGATTTTTCCTTCCTGATGGTCAGTAGCATACTAATCAATACAGATGCTAAGTCTGTGCTTGGATTAACATTCCTCCCCACGTGGAACAATATGCATATGCACATTTATCTATGACTCAGATGTTGGAAAATCATGGCCGATTGAATTACTTTGGGGATTGATTTTAAAAATTTATCTATATGAAAAATTAAATTTGGGTCCTACGATGCTTTTGCAGGGTATTGCTTTTGAAAGATATTATTCTTGAAACTTGTAATTCATTTTACTTTGTTTGTATCTCAGTAAACATAAATAAATTTGAGATAAAAATACATTAGTCAATCTGGCAGATATATGGGACCCATTACAAGAGTGTTCACAAGGCCTAACGCGGTGCTGTGTCTGTCAGTGGAGGCCAAGGGGGGGAAACGGAAGTGCAGGTTGGTCCCACGTTGCAAAGGAAAGGCAAAAGTGACGCCTCAGTCCCTCTTCTTTACAGCTGGGTTATTATTTCACCATTATAACTTGAGATACTTTTATTTCTTATTGATCTTCCACTGTAATGGTGACTCTAACACCACCTTTAAATTCCTTCTATACTCACCTTTTATCTAATGTAGTTTATGATCGATACAAAGAACAATTGAATGCCTTAGGGAGGCTTTTTAAAAGGAGTCCTTTTGTGAATGGTTTTGTAAAAAAAAAAAATTTTTTTTGTGTGTGTTATTAGTGTTTCTTTCTTCTCTCATTTATCTGATTAAAATGTCTATATTCATAGATTAAATTTTCTTAAGAAGGGGCATACCTCTACATTTTAAATCATTTTCAGTCATATGAGTTTAACTAGGAATTAAGTCGTTTACTGTGAAAAAGAAAAATTATGTCCTTGCTAGATGATAAGCTTCTTGAAGGCAAAAATAGTCTCCT